CTGCGTGTCTTTTTCCCGCCCAGGGAGTGTCATGGGCCTGCTATTTCTATTAGAACAATGATACAGTGAATATGGCACGCTGCTAGTCTGTGAAGCCCGTGTTTAAAAGGGTAGCTGCTGTTTAGTTAAATTTGTTAATTCCTGTCTCGAAAAATAGTTGTTTTTGAAGAGGTGCGAAATTATTGTGATCGTCTTAGTTTGTTGTTGAGCCGTTGTTAGGTTTTTGTTTAATTTAGTTTTCAGTTAATTTATGAAATGAAAAATTCTGGAAGGCAAAAATGCTACCACAGCTGACAAATTTCTATTTTAATTGTTTGCTGCCAGAGTTAGTAGATCCTAGAGAAATACGACATGTGCCAATTAGGGAAAAGAGATTGTCAATAATTTTGCCCGCTTAAAAAAAAAGTGTAATATACAAGGTGTTTCTAAATTCATGTCACAAAATTCAGGAGGTGATTGCTCGTATGAAATTAAGATGGGTCGTTCCTATAACAAAATTTCCTCAGCCAACCCCTTTAAAAGGTGGTGACTAAAATTGAGTTTTTATCTTTTTCTAAAATTTCAGTAAAGCTAGAAACTTGAAATTCTGTAATTTTCGTGCACTCGCAAAGGACTAACCATGGGTAGTTTTTCAATATTCCTGTTACATTATAGGGTGGTGAAATTAGCAACACTTACTTTATTTCAAATCAAAACTTGTTTTCGAGATGAAGTTCTATGAAATAATTTTATAAATTTTTTATTTTTTATTTTTTTTCCAAAACCAATAGTTTCATAGAAAAAACATACTCTTTTCCACTCAATTTATTAAAAAAATGATAAATTAGCTTTAATTCATGATTATTTATTGTTTCGGCCTTTACTTGATGAAAATCCATTTAATTTTGAAAGAGTAAAACCAAATTTGGTAGATTTTCACACTTTTATTTTAAAAATAAAAAATTTTAAAAAAACACTAACATGACATATGTTTCGAAGTACAACTTCTTTTTCAAATGTGACTATTTACAATTCGGTATCCAATATATATACGAAATAATTTAACAAAACAAAGTACTTAAGAAAACATCAATAACATTACAAAATAAACTAACTATTTAAAGTAAATAAAGGTGCTTAGGTAATTATAATATCCATCAAATAACAATAAGATAGCCCATTACCGGGATTATCTCACAGAAAACTGGGAAAGAGGTTTAATAAGGGTGAATTATTAATATCTAATTGATCATTTAGTAAGTTATCTGAATTTTTAAATCTATTTATTTCAAGTGTTTCTAAATGGTTTAATTTAAGGCTCTTATTTTCTACATGTAAAATTTCAAAGTTGTCTGTAAAAGAATGATTTTCAGCTAAAATATGATTTGAGTAAGTAGAATTATTTTTGTTTTTTGTATAGCTATTATAATGTTCGGAATAGCGTTTTTTTGAAAGTACGGCCTGTTTGACCAATATACAATTTTGGACAACTACCACAATTTAATTTATATACCCCCGATTTATTATTAGGATTAATTTTACCCTTATTGTTTTTAATATACTTCCCAAGCGTATTATTGGTTTTAAAAGCTACGTTAATATTTTGGTTTTTTAAATATGATGATACCTTTTCACTAGGAGCTCCTATATATGTAAGACTCTTATATCTGCAATTTGGATTTTTAATCAAAGATCTTTAATTAAAGATCCAAATTGCAGATATAAGAGTCTTACACATATAGGAGCTCCTAGTGAAAAGGTATCATCATATTTAAAAAACCAAAATATTAACGTAGCTTTTAAAACCAATAATACGCTTGGGAAGTATATTAAAAACAATAAGGGTAAAATTAATCCTAATAATAAATCGGGGGTATATAAATTAAATTGTGGTAGTTGTCCAAAATTGTATATTGGTCAAACAGGCCGTACTTTCAAAAAACGCTATTCCGAACATTATAATAGCTATACAAAAAACAAAAATAATTCTACTTACTCAAATCATATTTTAGCTGAAAATCATTCTTTTACAGACAACTTTGAAATTTTACATGTAGAAAATAAGAGCCTTAAATTAAACCATTTAGAAACACTTGAAATAAATAGATTTAAAAATTCAGATAACTTACTAAATGATCAATTAGATACTAATAATTCACCCTTATTAAACCTCTTTCCCAGTTTTCTGTGAGATAATCCCGGTAATGGGCTATCTTATTGTTATTTGATGGATATTATAATTACCTAAGTACCCTTATTTACTTTAAATAGTTAGTTTATTTTGTAATGTTATTGATGTTTTCTTAAGTACTTTGTTTTGTTAAATTATTTCGTATATATATTGGATACCGAATTGTAAATAGTCACATTTGAAAAAGAAGTTGTACTTCGAAACATATGTCATGTTAGTGTTTTTTTAAAAAATTTTATTTTTAAAATAAAAGTGTGAAAATCTACCAAATTTGGTTTTACTCTTTCAAAATTTAATTCATGAGATGCAAAGCATCATAATTGTCGCGTCACAAGAAACCACTTGCTGCCAAGAGAAAATTTTGATTCAACAGTATTGTAGATTTTGTATTGTAAAAGAGAAAAAGTTGTTATTTTTTTAATTTAATAATCTATGTGAAAAAAAAATATTTTTATACAGATATTAAAAAATTGTTATATTAATATAGGTACTTAGTTAATTGTATTTATATTTGTTGTTCCTTTAATACAATTTACCTATCTCTAATTCATCACTTTCCGTATCCATATACCTAGGATCCGATTACAATTAGAAAAACACCGCTACGTCATAACTATTATTTCGAATTTCCAATATATATGGGTGTCCCGAAATTAGACGGTCATATTTTAACAGCGTAATCTACATCCTACAAATATTAGAAATTAAAAATTTAAAAAAACCGACTTCAAAAACGTGCAGATGCCATCACCACATCTTAACCAAATTTATATGGGACCACCCCTGAGGTACCCCCTTACTAACAAAAAAAGAATCATATAAATCGGACAAAGCATTATCGCTAAACATACATAAAAAATGATGAAGAGTATGAGGATTTTCTCATGGACCCAATTATTAGATTTGGACCAAATTTATATGGGACCACCCCTAAAGTACCTCCTTTCTAACAAAAAAAGAATCATTGAAATCGAACAACGTGTTAAAAAATTATCGCTGAACATACATAAAAAAAAAAATTTAAAAATATTTCGACAAATTGAGAACCTCCTCATTTTTTGAAGTCGGTTAAAAATAGGAGTAAAAGTTTATATAAACATAGGTCCGAAAACGTTTCATTTTCGAGATACAGGGTGTTACAAGTGAAGTCCAGATGGCACATTTTTGTAAATATTTTCTAAAATTTCTTTAGTTACCGGTTTTTTAAAGTTAAAAAAAATATAAAATTACTACTAATTATTGTTTACACTTTCGAATAAGATAACATAAACTTATCATGAAACTTTAAAATGCCTTTTTCTTGAAAATGGCAAAGAAAAGAAAATATTGGTTTTCCAAATTTTATAGTCAAAAATGTTAAAAACTATCAACAAAAAAAACTTTCACCCTAAGCTCCCCCTAATTTACCCACCTATGAAGATGATCAAAAACTGGGGTTAAGTCCAATAAATAGAGCGTAAAAAGGTAAGTATTTGTACCAAATTTTACCTAATTATCTTTAAACGTTTAGAAAATATTTACAAAAAGTGTGGTATCAGGACTTCACCTTTATCTCGGAAAAGAAACGTTTTCGGGCCTATGTTTATATGAACTTTTACTACTATTTTAGGATGTAGATTAAGCTGTTAAAATATGACCGTCTAATTTCGGGACACCCTATATATCATCTATAACTATCAATAAATAAAAAATATTTGAGTTGTTTGGTTTAAAAATAGTATTCCTACATTCATATAATATTAACAAGCCACTAAACCCCCAGTAAGCGGCGATAGCCAACGAATTACTTCGCCAATTGATGATATACCTGTGTTCATGTAATTGTAATCGGACCCTACCCAATCCTACGATTATTCTTTAGCGCACGACACACGACATTGCCAAATTTATGTAGCGAATACTTCCAAATACTTTAAGGGGAGGTCGTTAGATCCGTGCGGTGTGACGTCAGAAGGGACTGGATTGCTCTTAAATGTTTGGATTTGAGTTCTGAATACCTTGTAAAATATTCTAGAATTTATGTAAAATTAATTTTAAAGTTAATTTCGATTTTAAAATCGTCAGAAGTTGTAATTATTGTCATCTTTATAATAGTTACGAATTTATTTATTTTAATACTGAGAAGGTAAGATATATTAAAATTCTGAATTAGGAAAGAATGTATCAACATTTATTTATAAAGTGTTGGGTTTTTAAAAGATATTTATGATTTATAAACATATCAATGCTTTCAATTTATAAATATAAACTTATATCAATGCTTCAAACTCTTTAGTAAAAGCCACAATAAAATCCGAAATTTAGGTTAACCGGGCTACATAATTTTATTACTCAGAATTTATAATATTTTATACTTTTGTACACTTTAAGTAACTGTAACTATTTTTGTTAATTTAAAATTACAGTCGTGTGCATATTGAGTTTATTTGTAAATACTTTAAATGATAATAACTGTATTTTAGTAGAACTGCAATAAATAAATAACGTCACAAGGATAAAGTCAGAAGAATAACGTCACAAGGATAACGTCACCAGGATAACGTTACAAGAATAACGTCACAAAATATAACGTTACAAAGAAACGCATTTTATTGAGGTAATTTTTGCAGTCAATATAGTATTTAGATTTATTATTATTATAAATTTCTCTAGTTCCGAAATTTTTTCCTATCGGATAATTTGAATATAAATATTAAAAATCACATAACCTCGAAAAGATATTAATATTATACACAGTGAAATGTGTCAAATTTGCCTAATTCAAAAAGAAACTAAACGGCATCATATACCATAAAACTTTTCTAACTTAAACTTTTAAAAATATACGAACCTCAAACCTCTGGTTTCTTTCGTAGAAATATCGTTTAGATACGACAAAACGACAGTAAAATATGTTGGTACGCTTCCAGTCAACATAGCGGGGATGGTAGCGATCATAAAGTACCAAGGCGACAGATTTTTGATGCAAGTTAATATTGCCAGTAAGGCAAAAGAAAAAGTCAAACCTAAAAAAACAAAATCATATAAAATAATGAACTAACTTTGATTACTATACGGTGCAAGAGAGAGGTCCGACACGCCCAATATAGGGCGCGGCCATTTTGATTCCTATGCCACAGTTTATAGCTAAAGAATCAGATCGCTCATTCTGCGTCGGCACTTTTGATCTCAATGTTCCAGTTTATACACTGCGCAACTCGGAAAATACAATATATGACAACCGCCTATAATAAAACAGCAGTCTTCTGCGTATCCTGAATTTGTATCCCTAGAGTGGATGTTATTTTGGAACTTTCAACTGATCCGAGTGAGCTAACTGATTCTTTAGCAATAAACTGTGACCCCAAAAATAATATTCATTGACACTGACAGCAGCAAGCAAAATATCAGGTGCGTTTTAATCATCCGCTTCTGCTTCCAAAATTGTCAGTTTAGTCGTTTTAACCTGTCAGATTAAAACAAGAAAACCGACAATTCCGAAGCAGAAGCGGATGATTAAAACGCACCTATTAAAAATATTGCGTCAAGATGTAGGCAACAAGTAATAAGGGATCAAAATGGCGGAGTTTTCTATCTCCTTTTAAAAGGCACTCAGAAAGCTGCGCAGTGCAACCATTCTTCGTATAGTAAAAGAAAATCAAAGTATGTGGTGCCATTTAACAACATCCAAAAGTAAGAGGTTAAAGAAGACTTACCTGTCAGAGCCATCAGTTGGACTGGTATCCGTCCAAATTTATCAGACCAGGGCCCAGCGAATAGGCAAGTAATGATTGGTAAAATATTCAGCGGTAGGTCTAATATCAGTGTGAGAATGTTCGCGGTGGGTTGAACTATTTTTTCCAATTCTTGAATTTCCGGACTGGTGTCTTGTCCTAATAAGGCACATTTTGATTCGTTATAGCCCATTGTGACGTAACAAGTGCGGTAAATCATGAGATTCGTCATTATGGGCCCTACAAAACAATAAAAATATGTCAAAATTCAAGCTGATTGCCACTTTGACATTGACTTGTAACTGTATCTATTAAAGCAGTTAATATATGTATAAACCCCAATGGGATATATGTGGTACTTAGAGGAAATTTTAATAGGAAAATCAGAAACTTTGTTAAATATCTCAAAATGTCGAAAATAAATAGGTGACTTTTAAAAATTTAAGGCAGAAAATAGAACACTCTATGAAATGTTTTAGTACGCCTCTGTGTAGAAATACAGGAATTTAGATTAAATAAGAAACTCGGGTTTTTTATTAAATACCTCGGCAACCGTTTAAGCAATAAAGATGCGGTTTGTGGCATTGTCTTAATGACTTCTGAAAAACAGTATACAGGGTGATCCATTAGTGTAAAAAAGTTTATTATCTTCGGCGCGAGATATAGAGATGTAAAAAATATATTTACAGAACGATTGGTAGAATTAAACTAAATATTTTAAAATTCAATAATTTCAGTCTAGAACAAACTTTTCCTGTTTTAATGAGTAAACCTGATTTTAATAATGTGCACACTGCAAAACAAATAATTGAAAATAAATTATTTTGCGATGTTAGTGCTACTGTTTCAGTTCACAATAAATGTGTACAGAGTGAGTCAAAACTCAAATACATAATGTTCTTTTGTTTTTTATTTGATCATAGTGCATTTTATTTTATTATTCAAAAGAACCCTAATTATACGTTTATTTGAGTAATTTCCTATTTCTAAAGTTATTAGTTTTGGAAGATTTTAAAGTTTAAATTACAGAAGGCTCATTTAGAAAATAGTTTAACTGCTCAGTGGTTTATAGAAAATACACTATTGTCAGTCAAGTATGTAACGGTTGGAACCGTTATTCGTTATCATCTCTACTCAAATGTCATTTGTCGTTTATGCCTTGTGTCAAAAGTGTGTATTTTATTTGATTTAAATCTGTCAACGAATCAAGTTGATTTTAATTTTTAAATTATCTGGGACATCCGATGTACTAATTGATTTTTAATATTCCTATTGGCCGTCTGATTTTATAAGGTAAGGTTTAATACTAATATATTATTAAATATATATATATATTTTATACAAGGATTTTTTAAAAAAATTGTAAAGTTCCGACATAACCTCAATACCTATCAATAATGACATGGATATTTTATATATTATTTTTTTGGAATAGGATATTATGCTTTACCATGTTTAAATATGTTAAATAAGATTTTTCCTTTTCATATTAATTTTAGTCTCTGTGAAATTATTCACTTAATAGTTTTAAATTATTCATTTGTTAGTTAAAAGCATTTTATCTAAATCCTGTTCCAATTTCCTATTTCCCGAGCCGTAGGCGAGGGGCGCAAGTCACCCGAGTGAATAATGGCCATAAATTGCGAGTCTAATACTATACTTTGTCCACGACCATTATGGTTTCTTTATTAAATAAAAGTTAGGTGTAGAATGGAAAGTTTTTATTAAACATAGGTAACTGATTTTTCGATTTTTCGATTTTTCAATTTTTCGATTTTTCGATTTTTCGATTTTTCGATTTTTCGATTTTTCGATTTTTCGATTTTTCGATTTTTCGATTTTTCGATTTTTCGATTTTTCGATTTTTCGATTTTTCGATTTTTCGATTTTTCGTTTTTTTTTATTTTTCGATTTTTCGAATTTTTGATTTTTCGATTTTTCGATTTTTCGATTTTTCGATTTTTCGATTTTTCGATTTTTCGATTTTTCGATTTTTCGATTTTTCGATTTTTCGATTTTTCAATATTTTGATTTTTCGATTTTCGATTTTTTGATTTTTCGATTTTTCGATTTTTTGATTTTTCGATTTTTCGATTTTTCGATTTTTCGATTTTTCGATTTTTCGATTTTTCGATTTTTCGATTTTTCGATTTTTCGATTTTTCGATTTTTCGATTTTTCGATTTTTCGATTTTTCGATTTTTCGATTTTTCGATTTTTCGATTTTTCGATTTTTCGATTTTTCGATTTTTCGATTTTTCGATTTTTCGATTTTTCGATTTTTCGATTTTTCGATTTTTCGATTTTTCGATTTTTCGATTTTTCGATTTTTCGATTTTTCGATTTTTCGATTTTTCGATTTTTCGATTTTTCGATTTTTCGATTTTTCGATTTTTCGATTTTTCGATTTTTCGATTTTTCGATTTTTCGATTTTTCGATTTTTCAATATTTGGATTTTTCGATTTTTCGATTTTTCGATTTTTCGATTTTTCGATTTTTCGATTTTTCGATTTTTCGATTTTTCGATTTTTCGATTTTTCGATTTTTCGATTTTTCGATTTTTCGATTTTTCGATTTTTCGATTTTTCGATTTTTCGATTTTTCGATTTTTCGATTTTTCGATTTTTCGATTTTTCGATTTTTCGATTTTTCGATTTTTCGATTTTTCGATTTTTCGATTTTTCGATTTTTCGATTTTTCGATTTTTCGATTTTTCGATTTTTCGATTTTTCGATTTTTCGATTTTTCGATTTTTCGATTTTTCGATTTTTCGATTTTTCGATTTTTCGATTTTTCGATTTTTCGATTTTTCGATTTTTCGATTTTTCGATTTTTCGATTTTTCGATTTTTTGATTTTTCGATTTTTCGATTTTTCGATTTTTCGATTTTTCGATTTTTTGATTTTTCGATTTTTTGATTTTTTGATTTTTCAATATTTTGATTTTTCGATTTTCGATTTTTTGATTTTTCGATTTTTCGATTTTTCGATTTTTCGATTTTTCGATTTTTCGATTTTTCGATTTTTCGATTTTTCGATTTTTCGATTTTTCGATTTTTCGATTTTTCGATTTTTCGATTTTTCGATTTTTCGATTTTTCGATTTTTCGATTTTTCGATTTTTCGATTTTTCGATTTTTCGATTTTTCGATTTTTCGATTTTTCGATTTTTCGATTTTTCGATTTTTCGATTTTTCGATTTTTCGATTTTTCGATTTTTCGATTTTTCGATTTTTCGATTTTTCGATTTTTCGATTTTTCGATTTTTCGATTTTTCGATTTTTCGATTTTTCGATTTTTCGATTTTTCGATTTTTCGATTTTTCGATTTTTCGATTTTTCGATTTTTCGATTTTTCGATTTTTCGATTTTTCGATTTTTCGATTTTTCGATTTTTCGATTTTTCGATTTTTCGATTTTTCGATTTTTCGATTGACAGACCTGAGAATTTTAAAATAAACTATGCTATGGTTACCTCTTACAGAAGATACAGACCAGAAGAATGCCATTGGAATGGCTAATAAGAACCGATAGGTTGTAAATTGAATAATAGTATATTATTAAACGAGCAATTTATGGTAGCCATTATTCACGCAGGGTGACGTTTGGTCCCGAGCCGTAGGCGAGGGGCGCAAGTCACCCGAGTGAATAATGGCCATAAATTGCGAGTCTAATACTATACTTTGTCCACGACCATAATGGTTTCTTTATTAAATAAAAGTTAAGTGTTAAGTTCGATTTTTCGATTTTTTTTTGGTTTTTCGATTTTTCGATTTTTTTCGATTTTTTTTTTCGATTTTTCGATTTTTCGATTTTTCGATTTTTCGATTTTTCGATTTCTCGATTTTTCGATTTTTCGATTTTTCGATTTTTCGATTTTTCGATTTTTCGATTTTTCGATTTTTCGATTTTTCGCGAAACGTCTTGACAGAGTAGGTGCCAAAATAGGCAAAATTCTGTACGTTGCTTCCATTTGCACTCTAGCATCTTCAAAAAATTAAGAACCTCATCAACCCAATTGTTCAAAAAACTGGAGTGGCTCGTCTACTGCCATGGAGTCAGCAATTATTACAAACGTCTTATCGGCGATGGAGATAGCAGCGTATACAAAAAAAAAATGTGAAACAAGACCATATGGACCAATGACTGTTACAAAAGTTGAGTGTACCAATCACCTGCTGCGAAATTACTGTACGCATTTGCGAGAACTGACCAGTAAAAAAAAGTACTAAGGATATGCATGTAAAGCCCGAATTAAGAAAAATTTTATCATCGAAGACACAATAAATATGCAGATTATTTTTGTAAAAAGGATAAAGCAGATAAGGATCATGTTACAGAGATGGAAAGCTCTGGGTTAATATAGGATATAGATTGCTCCAGAATACCTAAAGTTTGTTACTAAACATGAATAATAATGCAGCAGAAACTAATAATTCGGTAAGGGCTAAATTTGTTGGGGGAAAAGGATAAATTTTGCTATTAAAGAACGCTGTGGTGTAAGATGCAAAGCAGCAGCCGTATCGTACAACAAAAGAGAAAATTACATTGCTACTTTACATCAAACCATAACCGTTCAAGAACTTAAAAAACACTCCCATTCGTTCATCGCCAAATTAAAGAATAAAAAAAGCAAAAGAACTCTGAGAGAACCCCAGATTAAAAAAAAAGAGAACAACTGCACCTGCTGATAAGGAGTATGGAATGCCAGATAATGATATTCTAAATTTAGAAGAGAGAAAACAAAAATTTTTGGACAGTTTAACAAATTCAAGATCCGAAATATTAGAAATTGAAATTAAAACAAGAGGGCAAGCCAGGAACACCTATTGGGGAGAATATAGAAGTAATATGCTTACTGCTTCAAATTTCCGCACAATATGCAAATTAAAGAAAACCTCAGACCCGAAGAAAACTGTTCATAGCATTTTGTTTTCTTCATTCACAAATTCCAAAGCAACAAATTGGAGCAAAGATCATAAAAGCCATGCCAAAGAAGCATTTGAAACAACATTTCAAAAAAAGATTAAAGATTGTGGTTTATTTATCTACAATAAACTTCCTTTTCTGGGGGCAAGTCTGGATGGAGTAATAAACACGTCGGAAATAATTGAAATCAAGTGTCCTTTCTCATGTGCCACAATGACACCCGAAATGGGTGTTGCAGAAGGAAAAATTAAATATTTGGTAGAAAAACAGGGCACATACAGTTTAAAGAGAAACCATAATTATTTTTATCAGGT